TTATGCTAATTTGAGTTTTCTAATTTCAAGTGAACAACTGGCAATTGATCTACATGGATATACCATGAAAATTTATAACCTGTGGTTTACAACCACAGGGGGAAAAACAAGGCAAAGATCAAACTACTATTTCAGTTATACTGCAGGAGGGGGAGAAGAACATTTTTAAAACCAGAGCCTTCAATTAGAGGATTAAAAAGCAGAGGTTCTTTGAAGTCAGAGAGAACATTTTGCTTGATGAAAATTCTCTTCCGTCTTTCTGCCTTTACAATACCAATTTTTGTTCCTGACTGATATATTATTATGCTTACAATTTCACATGGACAAAGCATCAACAGCATGTTACGGCTCAGTATCACTTTCATCATCCGTCCAAAGATTATTTGGCCTGCACAAGCCCAGAATGTACAGACTTTGACAAAGAAAGGAGATATGCAGGTGCATGTACAGGTACATATATAAAAATTGGACAGGATAAATGAGAAGAAACCTGCATTCACTGAAAGCTTTTAGGAATGGAGATTTTTCTGCTTCTTCTAGGGAAGCCTGTTTTGCCAAATACAGACTTCATATTTATTTTTTCTGACATCCAGCAGGAAATTCTGCAGTGATTTGCACATCTGTATCACTGCTGCTCTCTTGCAGCAGCTGACTAATACCTGGCAGGCGCTAGCAAAGTCATCTGTACCAAATATGCACATCACACTAAGCAGGTATCCGACACAAGAATTAAAATGTTAATAGTGACTAACAAGGTGACAACGTTGGTGAAAGGCAAGAAGCAAAGTTTGACCTTCCCTCCCCTTCCTCTAAAACATTCTAATGATCTGAAGAGGCTAATTTCTTCCAGGTATTTTCCCAGGAAACAAAGAACAGCAGGCATGAGGTCATCTAGCCCGTACCAGCAGTACTCCTAAGATCAAGGAGATGTCCATCCTGTCCACAAGAAACTCCTGCCACCAATGAAGAAGGACAGAAGAAATGGCCATTGCTATACGAACATATCCTGATGATACTCAGTTTTACATCTCTACCCCAAGCCGACCAAGCGATGCTGTGGGGGTTCTGTCTCAGTGCCTGGAGGCTGTCAGAGTTCTAGATGGGGAAGTACAGATTTCAGCCCAACACTAGCAAGACCAAGTAGTTTGGGGTTTTAGGGCCTCCCAGATCCAGTGATTTTCCATCCCTAGCTCTGGACAGGGTTGCCTTACCCCTAACAGAACCAGTGTACGATTTGGGGGTCCTCCTGGACTCACAACCTTGCTTGAGGAACAGGTGGCAGCTTTAGGAGGGTTTCACACAACTTTGCCTGTACATTAATTACACCCTTTCCTGGATCGAAGGTCACTCATGCCTTGGTCACCGCACAAGAGGATTACTGCAGTGCCCTTGAAGAACATCGGGAAGATACTAGTCCAAAATGTGGCAATGTGGGCAGTTATGCTGTACCTCTGTTCTGCAAGCTAGAAGTGTGCTTCCAAGTGCAATTCAAGGTGGTAGTTGTCACCTATAAAGCCCTTACTGGCGGGACTGCTTCTCTACAACTGGATGCTTCTCTGGGCATGGGAGTCAGGATGTTATTTGGAGCATGTGAGGTCTTGTTAATTTATTATTGATTGGATTTTGTCCTCAGCTGCCATTATATGTTTTTTATATTGTTGTTTATTTTGTACTGAGTGTAGTGTTAACTACCCAGAGTTCCATATGGCAAGATGGGTGGCCATATATCTCAAATTAATAAACAAACAAACAAACAAAACTGCAAGACAGAGTTAACGGCTCCATGTCTAGCCACCTCTTTTTTTTAACCCACATCATTCCCAGTTATATAACCATCTAGGGGTGGGAAGGGGCTTCTGTTAAATCTGAATATCCATTAAATACAAACTTACATCATTTGCAGTAAAACCTCCATTTACTAAGAAAAGGCTGAATGAAAAAATTGTTCCCTGCATCCCATACTGCTAAAGTTAAACCAAGGGTTTATGATAATTCAGAACAGACCAATTTTGAGGCTTTGAAAACTCAGAGTTCTTTTGCCATGAGAATTCCACATTTCCTTTGAAAGTGTAACTATTGTGGCTGTGAACAACATGCCTGAGGAAGGCCCAGGAGCCAGCCGGCCCTCTGCAGTACCTGCTGATTCTGCTCCTGAGTTGTCTCCCCTTGTGGAGACTCCCCATCATCCTTTGAGCTGTTTCATCCCTTGCACTTACTGAATAAATCTAGAAGCCTGGCATTAGGAAACGGCAAACATTTCTTCCATTGTGCAATTTTATCTGAGCACACAACCGGAAATTCACCTTGCGCAGAGGTGGTCTCCCTCCCCCTTGGCAGAAGGGACACACGGTCTGGCTAATTGTTTGCAAAGCACTAAAAGCCAAGTGCCATGCAGGCATGAGATAATGCTAAGGCGTGAACAGATTGATCGAGGACTTGAAAGAAGCCTTGCAAATAACTATTTAGCAGACACTTTTCTTCTTCCACATGACTGCTCTCTGGCCTCCACTTGCCTCCCAGCACAGGAAGCAGTTTTTTTAGTCTGGAAAAGACCATGTCGCTGTTTCAAACCATGCCCTCTCCTCTGTCTATTTCCAACAAAGAAAGGGGCACAGAGACACAGCTATGATGTGCTTCCTCAGTAACAGACTGAGAAAGCAAGAGAGGAAGGGGCCGTGCGCTTATTTAAGGCAGGGGAGTTGGCATTCAGCATGTAGCCAGTGCAATGCCGGGAGGAAAGGTAAGTGCATTCCAGGGACCCATGTAATAAATACTATGTTAGCAAAGGCCATCAGAAAGAGTGAGCCAGCTCTACTCAGATCACACGCACACCTCTCATTGAAGCCGTCTCCCTGTTTCAAGCTTTTAGTCATCTGCTTTACAAAACCTTCATTTATTATATCAGACTTCCTTTCCATGAAGATTGCCATATTATTAAAGCACTGAAAGCCAAACTCCAATTAAAACTAGAGCGCATGTTCCACAGAGAAAACAAGGACTGAGAAAGGACAACAGATGATTACATCAAAGAGTTGCTTTAATGACTGTAATTACAATGGGCAGAAATAGAAAAGCCAAGCACCCTGGGAGGCTTAGGTATACTGGAGCGGTCCTATACCACTAAAGCCCCACTGACACCAGAGGAATTCCAATTTGGCCATCAGTACTGCTCTAGCTAAGTGCTGCTCAAGTTGTGGGAAGGGCTCCTTCATACATTCACACACACACAAAAGGGTAAAGGATTCTTGCGTTTTGAAGCAAGATTGCCCTGTCGTTTAACACAGTATGCCACTTGTACAGTACACTTTAACATTCCAGGGTACTCCAGAACATTCTGTTTCTTTGGAACAGGCCAACTTTCCTTCTGGACAATGTACTTCCAGGCTCATTTCAATGGTTTCCAGAAAACTGTACTAAACCAGAAGCAGTTTGAGATGTTTTGGGCATGGTACTCCAGATGAACAGGTTTGTTTTGGGGGCAGACTCCCCCAAAATGCTTCTAACTGGGAAGATTTAATTCCAGAAACTGCTGACCCACCTTTGTAACAGCATAGTCCAAGAGGAAGTTCAGCAAGGTCTGGAGGAAAATGGAACATTCTGGAGTGCTCCAGCATATCAATGAATTTTGCATTTAACTATGTCAGAACTTCTAAATGGCTTGAGTTTGACATGTTTTAGAAATCACTAAGATCATCTTAGTATATCAGCTGTGCCAATACAATAGCATCAGTTCAGAATGGCATCTTGGAAAAGTGTCCTATAATTCTGAAAAACTCTTCTCCTGAAGAATGCCAAAGAATGCCAAGGTTTAAGTATCATCAAAGAAGAATGCAAAGTACTTATGCATAGGTTTTTAGAGCTGGGGTTAATTTATCATGGCTGGGACTTCTAACTGAAATAAATGAAAAGAACTAGCCACTTAACCTTTGCCTCTTTTTATGCATTCCTCCTCAATCTTCAGAACAAGAAAAATTACAATATAGACATGGGTATTTCAAAAAAGGAATTTGTTTTCTTTTCTTTGAAACCTGACTCATCTTTTGAAGAAACCAACCAAATAATGCAAAGCCCATGCAGTCAAAGATCAGTACAGTATAATCTATTATCTAGTCCTGTGCCATTGTGCAGCTCTTATCATTCATATAATTATCAATAAGAGGTATGTGAGAAATCATTGGCAGTTAACATGCTTTTAAAACCAACCAGCCCTTGAGCAAAGCTTTCTTCCCGTTGGCTCTGCTATGACCCAAAATCATAACCTTTTTCTGTAGCGATGTTGCCAAACATCTTCAAACTTAGTTTGGATTTAATAGGGGAAACTTTGGCATTCTGAAACTATCTACTCTTTTACAAAACAGCACCCCCCCCAACACACACTCTTTTTATAGTCTGGAAAGGCAGGGGATCCACAATGTTTGTGTAATTATTTGATTCAGGGTTCCACTGCCGGAGGAACCTGATTACATTTTGCTAAACTTAAGCAAAAGCAGAATGTAAGTGTTGTTGGTTTGTATATTGTACAGTAATTAGTATCAGTATTGCGTTTTTATGCTGTACTGTAATGTTAAGGCCCACAAGGTGAAAGGCTGAAGATTCCAAGGCTCTTCTTGGATCTTCACACCTTGGTCCTGCCCCTGCTTTGGGGTAGCAGCTTGATAGTTCCCAGTGCCATCCCCTGTCTTCCAGGAGGTACCTAATCTGACTTCCAGTCTCTAATCATCTTTATATTGCCAACTCCTGGATAAACTGAGATAAGTGAATCTCAAGGAGATAAAATTAAATCAAATTTTATTACTAAAAATAATTTGTAAAAAATATTCTTAACTGAAACACAAAAATGCAGGCATTCTGTGTGGAAGAAGGTAATTACAGAGCTCTTCAGATCACACATTCAGCAAATTAGTTTTAATTTTTAAAAAAATGAGAAGAAAATACAGTGCTTCAGACTGATTGCATGATGGAACGGGTCTTCTCCACAGAATATTACAGATCACAAGAGAGAGTTCAAAATATTACAGATAATAAGATTCTAAAGAAAAGTGGCGCTTTCCTGCATATATTCTAAAATATGGATGAAGTCCAAAATTAAAAACTCAGCTCTGTTAACTTATACAGAGAACATGAGACTTAATGCAACACAGAGAAAACAAATAAAAAACCTAGCACAAATTTCTGGCTCCGCATATTTGCAGTACATGATCTTCATTTCTTGGGCTTCTCCAGCTGCTCTGAGATTTCCAACCTCAAACTGAAGCTCTTGGGAATGATGGATGTCCCGTTCTTTACCCAACCTTTCTCCACAGACTTCTACCTTTCGTTTTAAAACCACCAAACATCTTCTACATCTGGCAGAGAGGGGAGTTGGGGTGATTTGTCTCAGAATGTAAGTGCCAGAGCCCCACCCTCTAATTCAGAGTGATGTATGAGTGTGAGCCTGTCATCTGGCAAGCCAGCTACATTCTCTACATATGCAAAAAGATCTGTGCCTTTTCGTTTAAATCTTTTTCCTGATTTATAAAAGTATATAGCAACTTCTGCAGAATCATTAGCCAGAATTACAGAAGTACTTAAGGAATATCTACATAGGATATGAAACATGAAAAGAGAAAACACTCTCCAATACTTCCCTCAGTGTACTCAACTAGTATAGTCTTTCACTGAAAGGAGACGTACTAATAACAGGGCCGGAAACATTTCTGATTTCTATGTGGTCGTAACAGAGGCCTGACTTTCTATTATTTCTTTCCTATTATTTAACAATCTAAATAAACACCTTTACCCATTATTTTCCTGCTGTATGATAATAAAAACAGATGGAAACCCCTGTTAACCTGGAACATGTCACCAAAACTCTGAAACTTCTAAGTTAACATTTGGAAGTCATAAAACCAAGAAATTCTTACCTGGTAGGTGTTATCAAAGCTGTCATACATGAACCTGGTGATCAAGGAAGTCTTCCCAACTGGAAAAAACAAACAAACATATTGGTAACATCCAACTAAATTCTAAGCATTATCCTACAGCAGTTAAATTGCCAAAATATCATCTGACATAAATCACATTTTGACAGTGATTGTGATTTAGTGACAACAATTAAATGAGCCATATGGCCCAAAACTATTCACTTTTTGAAAGATTTTTACTTAACAGCATGTGAGTGTTTTTTGTTACAACTGTCCCCATTACAGTAAAATTCAATGGTCAAAAGCTTCCACACTCTGCAGCTGTGGCTCTTCTTCCTTGCTGTTCAGCTGAGCTCTGGGAGAAGAGTCTGGCAAGTCAGGGTGGGAGAACTCCATGGGCCAACTACAATGATCAGAACATCTACTGAAGATACCACTCACAGCAACCATTCAAATTGGAAAAAAGACAGAAATTCAAAGGAGAAAAATATGGACTGTAGCTGTGAAAGAAAGCACTCTTACAAAGTCTTATCTAAGCACGATCTCAGCCTTGTGAAGATGTGAATCAGTGGGAGAAGGATTCCAACAGCAGATTAGAAAAAGGAATTTCTATTTTCTTGGAATTGGCTCAATACCAGGATCTTGTCTTTTTAATTCAAAGGTGACAATATGTAGATTGTTAAAATAAAAACACACTGACATTTCCATCCAGAGATTATAAGAATCAATATTAAATATCAATACCGTACTGATTTTCCACTGTGTCTGTAATTAAAAAGCAGCAGCCTACTACATTCTTAACATGTCCAGATTGGTGTTATACAAGCAGACCTACCCAGAACTTCAGTATTCAATGATTTGGCAATTCTGTGATACTGAAGATTTCTAATATACTTCCTTTGTTATTGGATATGAGCAGCAGAACTACTGAATCAGATCCTCCAATGTACAATCATTGATACTACGTATTGGAAGGATGCTATTTCATTCAAATTCTGTAATGATTTTGTAGACTTTTAAACGACTAAGAGGATATAGATAGCTTTAAAAACACAGCTGATGAAGATCTCTTCAGAGTTTTCTATACTCTGGTTATATCTTGGTGAGATTATTGCAGTACAGGAGAAGCCCAAGTTTCCAGAGTTCTGTCTGCTGAGCATGGAGGAAAGAGCTTTCTCCTTTGCTGCTCTTAAACTATGTATTTATTTATTTGTCTAATTTATATAGCTGCCCATCTCACAAAACAAGCGACTCTGGGCGGCCTACAAGCTAAAACAATTAATAAATACCTAAAACCATTATCATTGTTAATTATTAAAAAAAACAGTAAAAACTATAAAAAACAAAGCTCAAACAGAGAATAGTAGACAAAGGGACGTTAATAATAACGGAGCCACCTCACTAGTTCATCTGTCCCCTGGCATAACCAGGTCTTGAGGGATCTACGGAAGCCCAGAAGTGATACGGCCAATCTCACCGCAGCGGGGAGAAGACATTTGCAATGCATTTTTGCCCAGCCTAACAGAAAACTACAAGAAGTATTTGTGCAATGATGAGTCACAAGGCGAAAAAACAATTCAATTCAAATGGAAGGTTGTGAACAAACAAAAAATTCATTTGGTTGTCAATGGAGATTCATAAGTCATCTGTTGCTAGGTAGAAATATAAAGAATGAATAAGGAAACTACTGCCAATAACTCTTATGAAGATTTGAAATCATTCCCTCCACTCTACCTTGAAAGAGATGTTGTCTTTCAAAAGATAACTAAATTACAGTTTCTACAAAATTTAACTCAAAGACTGACAGACAACAATCTAATATGAAAACGGACAACTAGCAGGCACTCCACTGACAAAATGTTTAAAATGCAACCACCTTTTCACATTAATAATTTTCATTATAATATATATGTATATGCATTCTCTGGCTGAACTCAATAATAATTAGAATTGGAAAATGACAACTTCATCAAAGAGCCAACTATCAGGTCTGTTTACAAAAAATAGGCATTTAAATCCTTGGGAGATTCCATTAACTCCTTAAGAAAGTTACTACTAGAAATTGCAGCTCACTCCCAATTGGTAGGGAGTGTATAGTATTAATATGCTAAAATTTGTGCAAAATGGAGAATGAAATATGCTGAATTAGAGCTCTCATCCTTCTCAACTGACACCACAGTGTGGTAGAATTAATGGGAGTGACAATCTAACACACCTGGAAGGCTGCTTTAGAGAAAATACCAGGGGATCCAGTGATATGTGATACCCAGTGGCTTAATATTAAAGAAGGCTAAGGCAAGCATTGGCATCCCAGCCGTAGTTATGGGAGCCAGCCCTTCCTTCTCTGTTTAAAAAACGAAACAAAACACAAAACTAACAAAAAGAAAGAAATACAACCATGATCTGGAACCTGACCCAGGTTCATACAAGCAAAATTCAAAGAAAATGTAGTGTTGCATATTGTGTAAACTCAGTTAGATGCAATTGCACAGATACCGCTTTCCTCCAGTTTGCAGCTGAAAGCCAGAAAGTACTTCCACCCTGATGCAGTCCTTTGTTCAAGTCTGCTTCAAGTGATACGGTATACTTCAGCTGAAACATATTTACAGTAGAGTCTCGCTTATCCGACATAAACGGGCCGGCAGAACATCGGATAAGCGAAAATGTCGGATAACACACAGTAACGATTGAGTGCGGTAAAAAGAAAGAAAACTCGATCCGCTGCGCCTGTTGCAATCGATTTTTGCATTGCGGTGCCACACCGTCAGGAGCTTCAAGAAAGAGTACACTCACACTCGCAAACAAGCGGCACACTTTTCTCGTCGCCGATTTATGTGGTTTGTGTTTTTTTTGGGGGCATCGGATAAGACGGAATGTCGGATAAGCGAAGGTCGGTTAAACGAGACTCTACTGTATTGAGAAAACAGTGGAGATGTATATAATCCATAGCAGGCAGCAACTATTATATATTTTACACTTCAAACTAATAAGCATGGTACATATGTTTTAACTCCGAAAGTCCCAAGTCTGACGGCTAAATAACTGAATTTAGTTGCGTATTTATGAAAGCTAGTGCAGAAAGCTAAAAAGCTATTTCCAGTACCAAGCTTCTGCCCACGTAGATTTAAGCAGCCAGGAACATCATGTACTGCTAGCAAAGCAAGAGGACCAACTCCTGTTCAACGGTATGATCTTTTTCACAAATGTGCTGTTCGAGAATTTCTCACACAATCTGAGTTAAGACGTAAATTGACAAAGCTGTTAACCAGTGACTGGGAGCAAATTAAGAATCCTTTCTGGACAAGACATATGGCTTTTCAAGAGACGCTAGGAAAGAAAAAGCAAGCAGGCTTATATTCAGTGGCAGGTTACAACAGAATTCATCTACTTAATGAAAAAGATGTATCTTTACCATACTACTACATATTGGGGGGGGGACCCACTTTCCTGGAAGAACATATCAGCCTGGGAGCCACACGAGAGATGGCTTCCCTCATGTATTAGACAGATGAGCCCATGGGAAAAGAGGCATCTTCAAAAGAGTCTCTCCTGCTGATCTTAGTGACCACATAAGTTCACTGCAAGAGAGACAGTCCCTCACAGAGTCAGGCAAGCCCTAAGCCACTTTAAAGGACAGTCTATCAGCACCTTAACTTGTGACTGCACAGTGAAACAGCTGAGTCCGCAGGGTGAGAATCTGAAAGCTCTTCTCTCAGAAGCCCTATGAACCTTCATATCCTAGTCCTGCCTCTTTTCTGGAGTCAGGTCTTGGTAGCTCCAAGTGCCACTGTCGACCTTCCAGGGATACCTCACCTGACATCTACCCCAACCCCAACGTGTGAGATAGGGCTCTCACACCCTGTCCTGCCTTTCCTGGTAATGGAGGGTGGAGTGTGACTAGAAGATTCAGCTTCATAATTAGTAAATAGGTAAAGAACATTAGATTTGTACTACATAGATAAATAAAAATAAAAAACCAAACTATCAAGTACCTGACTAGATTTTTACCCATTTCTACTGAAATAGCAGTACCTATTTCTGCTTCAATTTTCCTGGGTTTCCCTCTTTATGGCAATTCCAAACTTTAATTGGGGGCAGTGAGATGATATAGTAAGCCCCGTTTTTTTCTTCCCTTGGTCAATTATTTCTTGAGAGTACCACCCCAAGCCTTAAAAGGTCTTATACTTTTGGCTGAGGGAAGGGCTCAGGTACAGTGATGTTGTCCATCACCAAGAGCCATGTCTCACTTGAGGGAATGTAGATTGTGAGTCTATACAATCTGCACGAGGGGATGTGCAATCTACCTGGGTTCTGCTGGGTAGCAGAAGAACTACATTTACAAAAATGCCTGAGAGGCAACTGGCAGCCAGTAGAGATCTTTCAGTGCGGTCATCATGTGATCTCTGTGTCTTGCCCCAACTGCAATTTCTGGGCACTTTCCAAGAGTAGGCCTATATAAAGTGCATCACAGTGCTCAAGATGGGATACAACCAAGTTGTTTGGATACAAATCCAAGTGGTGAGGAAGGGTTGCAACTGGGACAGTGGCCATAACTGTACAACAGTACTCCTTGCCACAATCACCTCCTATGAATCTGATAACAACTAAGATTCCATGACATTCTCAGACTGCAAATCTGCACATTCAGGAGGAAATGTAACCCTATCCAAAATGGCTTCCCCTCAATCACTGAGGCCAGTTTTTTCCTCTCAGCAACAATTCCTTATTTAATATTAGCTTGTTCTCCTTCATCCAGTTCATTATCATTCAGTTTCCTAGAGCTTGATGGAAGGGAGGAATAGAGGTGGGCACTGTCAGCATCCGGTCCAGCAGGAGGGGCACACTCCGGGTCCTGTCAGCTAAGGAGCATCGGCTGATGGGGCCCAGGAGGAGAGCCTTTTCTGTTGCAGCACCTGCCCTCTGGAATATCATCCCTCCAGAGAGATCGGCCTGTCCCTGTTGGCCTTCCATAAACCCCTGAAGATGTGGCTCTGCACTCGAGCCTGGGGCCCTGGGAATGGGATGGAATCTGTTGCTTGGTTGAGTGTTGGATTGTGGC